TAGAAATACACATATTCATTAATAACCAAATGGTTAGCTGGATTAAAATATAAAAGTTGCCTGCCTCATTGTTGGACACTAAAAATCACAGCATCCAGCTGTGTCTGGGCTGGACTGGCGGTATACAGCGCTGTTGAAACCGCTACCAGCTAATGCCGTGCCTTTACTACGCTAACTCATTAAATTGTGGCCAATGGCAGCCGCAAGTAAGAGTTACCACGAAGCTGAAGAGTTCAAAAGCAAGTGCATATGTAGCCGTAAGACAAGTGACCGACCGCAACAGCAGGCGGTCACTAGATGCTACAAATACTAATTTCAAAATAGGAAATGCAATAGGGCGTTGAGCGTTGAAAGTGTGTATAAAAGCATTCTGCTTGTGGGTATAACAAGAATCGGCGAGCGTTCTGAATGCCGCGACAAGCATAAGCCGGTAAATAGTGTACACAAAAGGAAATTGAAAAGGGCACAAGTAAAAACTAAAGGAAAATCATATTTTCTATGATCGTACTCGTTTGTATGTATGTATGTATATAGATATCTATATCTGTATGTGGCGGGTATAGCAAGCAGGTGATTGCAACAAATCATTGCGCCAGTGTTGAAGTTAATGCCTGAGAAATATAAGCTATGCAAAGAAATTGAGCTGATTTAGCATAAGAAATGGTGTTGATAGTAGAGTGGAGATACGACTGCGGAGGCAGCAACAAATTAAGTAGATGACAAGAATTGTAAAACCACTATTCTGTTGAGCAAAATAAAAGAATTTGTTTACTTTGTGTGGAATTATGCGGCATTAAGCAATCCGTTTCGTTGTCACTTAACTTAATGCAACGATTTATCACAGCAATTATGTTTGTAGATAAGTAGACAAAAAGTTTAGTGCAGAAAGCTTTTAAATTTTCAAAGAAGAGATTAGAGGATAAATTGGTAACAACTTAAGGAAACAACGGTGGATTACTGATGTCAGTTACATAGTAGATATCTGTATCTTTAATATTTATGCACATCAACATTATTATCTACTTTGTCGTAAAAAATTTTGACTATAAATTATTCGGTTATACATTTATGCTTTTGATGCCTTCGCGCATAGGTATCTCTAAACGCTATGGGTATCTCTTTATGAGCTTTATGAACTTTGTTGCATGTTCAATGAAGTTGTCAGCAATACATATGTTGTATTCTTCTACATATGTACATACATATATATTGTACATTAATACCAGTAAGGGTAAACCTTATCGACTTGTTCTAAGCTTGGCATTAGTGTGGTATGTTTTTAAACTCATGTTTGCAAATAGTTTTTTGGTTAAGACCCATGTGTAGAACTACTGAAAAGCTACTCAGAACAGTCTTATTTTTTTTTTTTTTAATTTTACTTTTCGAAAAAAAATGTTTTTTTTTTCGTCGTAATTTTGCCGAACAAATCGTTTTGCTTCTCAGGAACTCTATATCTATTGAAAAGTCACGTAAAAGAGTTTTAATTTTTATTCTATTTTTTTTCAAAAATTTTACTTTTCGAAAAAATTGTTTTTTTTTTCGTAATTTTGCACAACTTACTGTTTCCTTCTCAGGAACTATGGAACTGTTGAAAAGCTGCTCAGAACAGTTTTAATTTATATTTTTTCTTCAAAAATATAACTTTTTGGACTTTTTTGCGAAAAATGTTTTTTTCGGCGTAGTTTTGCAGAACTTTCTTTTTCCTTTTCAGGAACTCTAGAACTATTGAAAACCTACTCGGAATACTTTTAATTAACTTTTTCAAAGATTTAACTTTTTCGAAAAAAAAATGTTTCAGGAACTCTAGATCTATTGAAAACCTTTTCAGAACAGTTTTAATTTTTATTTTTTTTCAAACATTCTTCTTTTTGCGTTTTTTTTTTAACAAAAATTTCGGCGTAATTTTGCAGTATTTTTTTTTGCTCTTCAAGGAACTTTAGAGCTATTGAAAAGCTACTCACAACAATTTTTTATTTGCATTTCTCCATGGATTTTAGTAGGAAGGACGAAAGATTAATGGGTCGGTATGACTTAAGCTAGTCTGCTTGTTTTCCCCCCACTTTTGGGATGTAGGGACCATCAGTTTCTGTCATTGTAGAGGCAATTAGCAAAAGTGTTTTGCTCTCGGCCCAAACCGACAAACGGTTGCAGTGCCAAATAAGAAGAAGAATAATTTAACCTAACAACCGAAGAGAGGAAGACATTTACATACACAAATTGAAAAGGCAGACTCGGTATACTCGGTATCGAGTATCGTAATCTCAAAATAAAATTTTGAATCGAGTTTCATTCGATAAGGGTTAATTTTGTATAATGTTCAAGGAAAATCTATTCTTTTTTTTAATTTTTTCATACTCCAGGAAAAAATAAAGATCATCCTTTTAATTCCATAATGCAAATTTTTAATGCCAAAATTTAAAGGCAAAAAGTTAGACACAGATAGCGATGCCGGTGCTGGAAGATATTTTTGGACGAGCCTGCACAATCAGTGACCCACGTCACCCACAAGGACGTAAAAGTATTACCAAATGGTATGCTTCTTGCAGATTTGACTTATTCGCTTAACTATTGGCACATTTGGCAAATGCGCAATTTTTTTTACTGCTCCGAATTCGGTACATAAAAGCAAATACACTAATATGTACATATATCGATCGATAGAAACACACGCTTTTTGGGGAAAAAATTCGTGGCGCAGAATAGACAAAGAAAATACAGTAATTGAATCAGAAAAAGCGAGAGATAAAAATCAAGTAATGGAAAATGCGAAACAGCTGCTTGGCTTTTTTATTTTAGTGATTTTTTTTTTCCGACTTCTACGGTTGCTGAACAAGTCAATCACGCGCGTGAAATAGAAATTTACGCATTAAAGTAGAAAAGAAAAAAAACCTCAGCACGTCACTCAATTAGTTAGTTTCGGTGCATGTTTATGCAAATAGCAGCACAGGTAATGTAGGTATTTACTTATTTCTTTACTTTAAAATTACTTAGCTATGTTTGTAGAGTGGCTACTATGCGTTTGATAAGTACAAGCTGGCTAATGATAAAATTACCCACGAATACGCACGCAAAAAATGTCTCAAAGCTATTTAAGTGAAAGACAATTCAGCGACAATCCAACAACGCACAAAAAACGAACGCATGAACAACGCCACAGAAGTAATTAAAATCACTGACGAGTTAGGTAAAATAAAAAAAAATAAAATTACACAAATCAAATTAACCTAAATTGCTCGCACAAGCGCTAAGCCTATAATAGAAAAGCATTTGGGTGTAAGTAGTGGCTATAAGAAAAAGTATGGTATTTTTTCTATAAATGTAGTTAGTTAGAAATGCCTTTGAAGGCAATTTCTCTTTAGTAAAAAAAAGTGGAAAAACGTGATTATGCAAATGGAGCGCCTATGGGTTGAATTAATAATGATCTAAGTACATATATATGTATGTGTATATATGACGTTACTAGCTTTGAAAGCCCCATTGTGAATTCAGAACCTAGGTCCGACCTTATGCGGTCATGTCCTAAAAAAATGTGTCAAATGCAGACACCGAGATCGTTCTGGTAGTTTTGTTCCCATGAAAGCTTAAAAACCCAAATCGATATGAGAACAAAAGCTTCCGGAATGGTTTAACAAGAGCGAAAGTGAGAACAAAATTGTATAGAACGTTCTCAACAGGAATTAAATAAGAACAAAACCCTGTGGAACGTTCCCAAAGAGAACAAAATGCGAACGATACTTTCGGGAACATTTTTAAGAGAACAAAATGTGGACAAAAGTCTCCGGAACGTTCTGGCAAAGAAAAAAACGGGAACAAAGGTCTAAGGAACTTTCTCTGGAATACCCATTTTGGAACTAAAGTCTCAGGAACTTTCGAGCCCAGAACAAAATGAGAACAAATCTTCTCTGAAATATTCGCGAATAATTGAAGCGAGTAGACAATTTTTCGCATAGCGTTCCATTTGTTTGAAATGCCTTAATATTAAAATGAATCAAAAAGAGCTGAAAGATAATCAGCGTTATCCTGAGTTTCGCCCGAAAAAAAAAATTCATCAGAAAATCTATAATCTGCCTATAATACATACACGAAAACAAAAAGCGAAAACTGCACCGTTTCGAGGAAAAAGGAACTCATGATTATTTATATAAATTAAATCAACGAGCAATATAAGACACGAACTTTTCTTGTACAGAAAATGAAAAATTGTGCCATAAATGGACAGTTCACCCTAATGATAAACGATCTGGAAGTTGAAATGATCCAGCTTTCCTCTGGCTTAGAATCGTTTTGTTCCCTAGCAGTACGTTCGCCAGACTTTTGTACTAGTTTGATCCTCATCGGAAACGTTCTGGGTACTTTCGTTCTCATTTAAAACGCTCCCGAAAGTTTCGTTCTCATTCCGTTCTTCTTGAGAACGTTCCGTAGAGCTTTGTTCGCATTTTGTTCTTTTAGGAAACGTTCCCGAGTCTCTGTTCTTAACATATGCAACTCATAAAAAGGACCATGACATCAACAAAAATTTAAACGCAGTCACTTTAGATACAAAATTCAAAGAAATTTCAATTTTGAAAACTACGAAAAAAGTCATACTGAAGTAGAGACAAAAAAATAGACTTGCAGTAAAAATTCTTTGTGTTATTTTACAAGCTTCGAGCCAGCGAAGAAAACAGGCAAAATTGTAATTAACAAAATCAGCAATCAATTCAAATTAACTACGAATTTAAATTAAAATCTGTGTCAAATTTTATTGCTCATAACTGTTGCTCATCGCTTGGAAATATTAACTATAATGAAGATACCATTCTTTAGCAGCTCGGCGCCCAAAGGTGAGCAAAGTGTTTTTTAGAGTGTAGGAGGAAGAAAAGAGCAAGCGAGTACATAAAATAGCTGTGGCAACATGGAAACATTTAGCATTGCATTAAAAATTAATAACTGTCAATGCAAATTGGCGGCTTGTGAAAGCAGAATGCAAGAATTTTGAAGAGCTTTCACTTGAGCGTGATTATGTCAAAAGTCTGTGAAAAGCTCATTTTACTTATGTAGCTTTAATACGAATGCCCAGTAGCTTTATCACAAGAGCTTTTCATTTCTTGCTTGTTGCCACAGACCAACTTGATGTGGAAGATATCGCCACATCGTGTGGTTGTTGTTCACTTGCAGAACCCGAACCCATATCCTATGCTTCGGAGTTTCGCGATTTCATACAAAATAATGCACCATTGGATTTTGAGACAAAAATGGCACGAGCGCGACCATTTGTTTTCGCTAGCTTTATAGCGTGGCCGGCGTTTTGGATGTATAGAGGAATGGATTGGAGCAATAGGGCGCCATTGGAACGTTCCTTGGTCAACTATATAAATCGGGTAAGATGGGGGAAACATTTGTGAACAATGGTATAGATATTAAGACATAGGAATTTTCTTTCTTTGTAGACTTTTCATCAAGCCAAGTTAATGCAGTTTGCTATACTCAGTTTGGGTCTAATGTTTGCGGTTTATGAAGAGAGCCCTCTTCTGCATAAAGTGAACTATATGCTTAAGGGTATCGACCACGAAGACGATTACAGAGGTAAACCTAGACCGGTTGATTGATTGAGAGTGAATAACAAACTAAAATTAAGAGCCAGGCTGTGAGAAAATGGGGAAGAAGGAAGCTAAGGTTTTCTAGTTTACAAAAAGTCCCAAATTCGACAGATCACAAACTAAATGCACTTATTAGCAATTAAATTTACTTAGAAAAAATTTAAAGAAAAATTTAATGTTTGCCAACTCAAACAAAACCACTATAGTTTTCGACAAAAAAGGCAGTACAGAAAAGTATTTCACATTTCTGATACATTTGAAATTTCTGGCGTAAAAATTCAAAATAAAATCCTTCTTGGAATAAATAAAAAAAAAATAAAAATAAAAAAAATCTTTTTTCTTTGTCCTTTTGTAGAATACTAAAAATTATAGTGCATTCAAAAAGATTCGCGATTAAATAATTTAAGTCAAGTAAATTTAAAGCAAAAACACTCCAAATTCAAGCTTCCCGTCGGCTACTCAACTTTTTAGTGCAACTTTGTTCTTCCAAAAATCGTAGCGCGTCGATAGCAGCCCAAGACTTGCAGCACAATGGGAATCTTTGAAAATTTATTTCAAAAAAAGAGTACCCAACAACGCTATTTGGAAAGTGGTGAGTTACAAAAAAAAAGATGAAAATTAAAAAAAAAATAACGCTTTTGTACCCTTTAATAAAATTAGCGCCGCGCGATGTTAACCTAGGCGAGGAGGTGCGCCGCCTAATGCACAGACGAGATATTGAAGCGACAATGGAAGCTGCCTCACCATTTCTTATTAGTGCCGCCTTAGCCTGGCCAACAGTTTGGCTGTATCGCGGATTTGATTGGCATGCCCATAAAGGCAAGGAGACGCTGCCGCTTTATATTAGAAAGGTGAGTACCAAAAAGAAACAAAGATAAAGATTTAAAAATGGTTGGTCCTATAATTTGGGGTTCTCGATTTCCAGACTTTCTTTCAAGCGAAAGCCGTACAATTTGCAGTGCTCGCAATGGGTCTAATTTACGTTGTCGGCAGCACATCGACGCGCAACACGTAATATTCGTTCATTGAGGACACCTCTTTGATGCCTAGGGGAAAGAAAAATCCTTCGTCTGAGCAGGAAACTGATGAAAGAGTTAAAGTTATAGTGTACCATATCCATATATTAAATAAATTGACTTCGAAAGAATGTGCAAAAAAATTTTAACTATAAGTACTGCAAGGGATGCTATGAGAAAAAACAAAAAATGTAAATAAATATAAATTAAAATAAAAACCAAAGAAAGAATAAAAAATTAAAACTTAAATTTAAACAAATTTAACAAATAGCCAAAAATAAATAATGATTAAAAGATATAAAGAATTAATAAATTTAAAAATCTTATAGGTAGTAAATATTAAATATTGTATATAAAAAAAAGTATAAAATATTGTTGATGGTTAATTTTTTTGTTCAGTTTACAACATTAAAATACAATATAGGATAATAATTTAAGAATATTCTAAATAATCTAAAGAATAATGAAACAATTTAAAACTATATTGAAAAATTATTTAAAAAATATTGAAAAAAGAAATAAAATAGAAAAATATTAAATTATCAAAAAAATGTAAAAAATAAAAAAATTTGTAATTGCAAACCATTAACGGCAATAAACATTTAAAAACAAACAAAAAATAAGAAAAATTAAAATCAAAATAAAAAAATTTAAATAAAAAAAGCTAAAATGGAAAAACTAAAACGAAAAAATTCAAATAAAAGAAAATTAAAATCAAATTAAAGAAATACAAATTTTGAATGAAAACTAAAAAATTAAAACTAAATAAAAATTAAAAATAAACCTACAGCAAAGTAAACAAATACAGTTGAATAAGTTTAATACACCTAAATTTAGTTAGGGAATTTCCCTCTTTAATTCATTTTCATAGCAGCTTAAGTATGTATGTATATTTTTGAATTTTTATACATAAAAATTTATTTATAGTTTGCTTGTATGAAACATTTAGTTAAATTATTTTTTCTGTGTACTTCGTATCTTTTTTACACGATTTGTTTTTTACATGGTTTTGTCTGGAACGTATCGTCACTACACACGAATAAAGGCGCGCTAGTGTTTTGACGGCGAAAAAAAACGCGTAAAAAATTTTGGGAAGAAAGATGCTTATGAAAAACTTCGGCGAAGTATGTTAAGAGTCTTTGACGCTGAAGTATTTTTATGCGTCTTTGTTCGCCGTCAAATTTTGAGCTCGCGCCTTTATTCGTGTCTAGTGACGGTATCTACCGTGCAGACACAGAATAAGGTGTACTGTAATTAATAAAAAAAAATTAAATTAAAAAAGAATTAAACATTAATTTAAAGAAAAGGTAATTAAACAAAAATTTTAAATTTTATAGGGTGTCTTAGACCAAAACTGAAATATGTAAACTGCCAAGTTAGAGATGCCCTTTCTTTTGATCCTATTACCGACTTGCGGTTTCGACCTGAAGTGGGTTAAACTAACCGAAAGAACTTTTTTTAAATGGGGTACATTACGTACATGCTTTTAGAACAGATTCGGATTTTGCGGACAAAAACACATATCGTCACCTGAAATGGAAAAAGTCGTGACTAATATTTTTTTATTTCTTTTTTATAAAACGATGTGGGGAGTTGTAATTCAAAGAAATCCATACTATCAATCAAAAAATTAAATTATAATATTTTATTAGTTACGACTTTTTGCATTTCAGGTTACGATATATAACTTTTGTTGACAACGTTTTTTCTGGAATGGACTTCCAGTAAAAGTAATAGGACCAAAAGATGGAGCATCTCCGACTTGGCGGTTCATATTTTTTCTTTTACCAATAAAAACATATTCGTTCATATGCCTTATGTACATAGGTACATATGTATGTATGTACAGTAAAAAGCATTGGCACAGAGAATTTTTCACATTATTAGCTAATTTCACGAAAGCAATTTAAGTGAAAAATAATTTTAATTTTTTGTATTTTATATGGAAATTGACAGAAAATAAAAAATCACTTTCCATTTAAATTGCTGGTGAAGCCGGCTGTATATGCAACAATTTTAGTTTTAAATATTTAATTATTCATACTACAACAAAAAAATATGACTCAGGAAAATTCAATAAACTTTTTAACTTTTTATAATGTTTTTGAGTGTGATTGGGCATTTTTTAAGCATTCTCTTGCATCCTAAAAAAAAATTGCGAAAATTCTTTGTATGGGAAAAATGCGAAAAAGTTTCAACAAAAAATTTTGAACCTTACATTTTTTACATTAAAATTTAATGGGCTACAAAAATGCATACTCAAAACCATTCTAGAAAATCTGATTAAAGAGTTGAAAATTTGCTAAAAACTTATGGATTCTTCTGAGTTTTGCACAAAGTTTAGAAATTATAGTTTTATGTTGTAGTATAAACCATATTTTTATACAAAATTTGCGAAAATAATTAAAATAAAATTTTTTGCATATTCTCTGAGCCAATACTTTTTTCGTGAGTGTATATTAGATTAATTTATTGTCAATAAAAAATAACTGTTACCCATGTAATTTTAAACATCAAAGAAAAGCCAGAAAATTGTTTCTACTTTTGTATACTACGACGATCACGAACTAGTTCGAATATGAGTAACACGGAAATATTTATTTATATATAGTAGAAAGAGCTCGTTATGCTACATCAAGCAATTGTTCATTCAACTAAAACGCAGCTTGAAATGCATTTGCGCCTGCGCACAAAACAATTACAATAACAAGCTAAACTTCTTTGATCTACATTCAAATTCCGTTAAAATAAAATATGCAAATATATACAAGCAGAACTTTATGCTTGAATAGCATGATTTTATCAATATTCATGATAACGTTGTCTGTTAATCATATATCATTACAATTGCTGACATTGATATACAAATAGAAATAGAACGCGTTGACATGAAACGCAGCTGTTTTCTCTACTATTTACCATTGTAAGCTAAGCATGCATATAAATGTATATACATATACATATGTATGTATGTGTAAACCCACAACTTCTCGCTGCACTTTCCCCACTAACATTTTATACACTTTCTTCAAGAAATTAAATTTAATTCAAAAAGCCATAAAATCCACGAGCGGTAATGATTTCAAACGTGGTAATTTCTTCCAATTCAACACTTTTTATATCCAATAATAAACGATAATTAACAACTTGTACTACACTATTGAGGTCTGCATGTCCGTGATAAACAAGTGCAGCTCTTTGAGGTCAATAGTATTCAGAAAAACCAACAATATACAGTCTCAAAAAATGTGAGTTTCTAAAAAAAAAAACATTTCATAATACTATGTACTTGTACCTTTTTACATATTTCGGTGACACCTACATTAGGGTGGTCCTTAAAAAATCAAATGAACTAGTTTTTTTTTCAGTCTCAACCCCTCAATCGGTAATACCACGGTCACAGATATCACATATAAATTTTGGTAGCAATTGGAGACGGTTAAGGCGTGTCCATTCGGAACCAAAATTTATATGTGATATCTTCGACTATAGTAACAGCGACGTAGGGGTTGAGCATAGGAAATGTGATGTACTAGTTTCCTTCCTACATTTAAGGACCACCCTAACCTGCATAAATTGGCAACACATATTTTTTTTTTATTGTTGCACTGAAATATTCAAAATATCTGCTTGGCAAAATTTTAATAATTTTTTGAGAGCTTTAATTTACTGACATTAGGGTGGAACGTTAGGATGGTAAAAACTGCGATCTAGTGGATAAGTAATACGTGGAACGGGACACTAGAGGTCAATGAACTTTGGAGCAAAAAAATGTCTCTTCCGAGAGAAATATGTATGTATATCGATGTATGATACTTCTAGATCTGACTGTAAATGCCGAAGTTGTGGCAAAAAATAAAGAATGCGACCCTTAGCTTCGGCGGAAAAAAATCTAAATTACTTTGCAAAAAAACATACCTACTTTAAACTCAGCGGTGTGCGGCGATTTTTTTTTCTGTACGGTCTAATGTACATACATACAATATTACCCTATATTTTACAACTTTCCTTCGGTTTCTATCTTAAAAAATCTGAAAAATTTTTTTTTCACGCAAAGACAATTATTTTTAACTTTAGATAATAAATGACCACATTTCAGCTGGCGCCCTCATTGCACTGGAAATATGTAAGACAACCTTGACTTACATACATACATAAAATACAAGATATTTCTGCATGTAGAAAACAAATTTTATTTTTTATTTATTTTAGCAAAAGAAATAAATGGTGCTAAAGGGATATTATTAACACTTGAGATTTTTTGAAGGAGAAAATAAAATAAGTGGGACAAATGCATAAATTGAGGTACATACACACATCTGTACATATGTATGCATTTATAAATTTAATGAATCTGCACACATACATACATACATACATACACATAGTGAGCGAGGATATTAAGAATTTTTGAGTGTTTTTAGCTCCAAGTAGTTAAGCTGTTCGTATATTTAAAACTTGGCACGCTTGCTAAATTTAAAAAAGTACTTATTATTTATTCCTTTGGTTTGGTTGGATCAAAAAATAACTTCTCAACAAATCTAAAAAAAACAAAAAAAAACAAATCTTTTCATAAACTATTCTTTCATTTTCTTCGTCTGAGTTGACCTAAAACCATACATGGTCAAAGTAATTTAAGAGAAATTTTCTATATTTTAGGCGAAAAATGCTGGAAATGTGTTAAAAAACAGTTGTAAGTACCATTCCAAAAATTTATTAATTACAGCAAATCTGTGATGAAAATCATTTCCCGTATTATCGGGTATATACAGTGGCTCAAAGAAGCGTTCACAAGGTGAAGGTAAAGAATTAAATATTCATAATGCTTTTAAAGCTACATTTGGTTTGTTAATTTTCTACAAAAATATTGTCCATGCATTAACCAAACCCATATAAATCAAAACTTCAAGCTTTATGCAAAAATTAGGAAAATTAAAAAAAATCAAAATTCGGAGCTTCTTAATCCGAATTTTTAGAAAATTTTCTGCTATGTCCTTGT